CCACCTCCGAGAGGGCTGTTCCTCCTGATCGGGGGGAGGCAGGGCGCGATACTGCTGCCGCTAGGGCAGAAATGAGCGATGGTGGCGGCACGTCGTCGGGGTCGGAAGATGTGTCCTGGTTTAAGAAACCGACCACCACAACGGAGAATGGCAATGGCGGTGGGGCGACCGGGGGGGCGGCGGGAAAGCGGTCGGTTCGGCCGGCGCAAGCTCTGGCTAGTCCTGGTAAGCGACGGACCGTTTTTGCGAAAAGTAATCGAACGTGCCTAACGGATTACCGAAGGCTGGCGCGGCAGCGATGAGCGCTTGGTAACAGTTCTACCCCAGACCTGCAGTTGGTATGAGTACTGTACTGGCTGTGTCGATGCTCTGCATCCCGCTGCTGCCGCGACTGCTGTGTCGACTTCCTTTCCCCTTATAAAAACCTACCCCCCCCCCCCCTCCTCTTATTTGTTGCCGTTGCTTTTCTTGCGCGTCGCTCTCTTTCCCCCTGCTTCCCCTTCCCTCTCTGGCGTGTGATTGGCTGATTGGGTCGGGTCGGAGAGAGCAGCCTGGCTACCAAAGAACGACGCCGCCAAGATGACCCCGGCTCAGAGGACGAAAAACGTGCAGCGGGCGAAGGATCAGCGGCAGAAAGCTCGCGGCAAGAACAAAGGGGGTGGGGGTGGGGGGAAGCGGAGAAAGGCTGGCGATGGTGACAGCAGTGGTAGCGATGAGGTGAGAGCTTAGCTCCGATTGGTTGTATTCTACAAGCGTACAAGTGTTGGTTTTGAACCCTTTTTTCTTTTTTTGTTTGCAGGAGGGCGCGGAACAATCACGTCAGGTCAAGGAAATGCCTCTGGTTGAAAAGGCAAGCAACGGATTGAGTACACAGACACACACACACACACAGTCCGTCCTCTCGAGGACGCCTGTTTGATGGTCTAGCCGCTAAGGCATGCAAAACATGAGAGTACCCCCCCACACACACACACACACACGCTGTACGCACGACGCTTCGCGCTTGGTGATATGAGAGCCTCGTCCGGTAAGAAACCGGCGTGCTCCGTCCCGGATGCGAGGTCAATGGTCTATCGACTACGAGTACACGGCTATTTGTACCCCCTCCCCACACCCACACCCACACCCACACCCGACACTTTCCCTAATTTCGTCGGGGCATGCTCATCGCACGATCAGGACTACGGCGCCGGCAGGTCGAAGAGGGCGGCACGAAGGGCGGGGGGGGGAGGCGGAGCTGGCAAGGGCAAGGGGGGCGCCGCCGCGGGGAGAAGGGGGGCGACGCGGAATCGTCACGGAGACGACGATGAGAGCGAGGAGAGCTGCGAGACCGGAGATGATTCTGATGAAGAAAGCGAGGTACAGTATGTATGCTGTTGTCCGCGCTGTAAAGACGCACATGTGAAAGTCACCTCCCGGCCTTAAGGACAGAAAATAATGTCATAAAAGGGTGCCCCGGATACATATACAACAGTGCCGTTTCTTCAAGACGATTTCCCGCGTTCAAGACTACTTTGACAAGCGGGGACGACCGTTGTAGTAGGAACAACGAGTGACGCCGAGATACATATTGCTTCGATTATGGTAGAAGATTCTCTCAAAGTTGAGTGTTTTTTTGAGTTTCTGTTTGATGCTTCTCCTGTGAGGTGTACAGCACACAGAGAACGATTCTAGGAACGATCCTCTATTGCTTTTTTTCGTTTTGTCAGATTTGACTAAGGTCACGTTTTTGTGGCCGCAGGGTCCATTGAAGCACTTGGAACGACATGAGGACGACAGGGCACGGGAGGAGCTACGCACGTTCGGTAAAAAAAAAAAAAAATCCTACGCATGCCGTTGATTATTGGCACCCAACTAACGAGGTCGGAAGCGGAAACTCTTGTCATGATTTCATTTCATAAACTCGGTTATTCGTTTCGATGTTTTTTTGACACATCATGAACTGGTTGTTCGTTGTTTGTGTGTTTTCGACGAGAACGAGAATCACTCGAGTGCTTGTTGGTTTCAGAGCCACGGTTGATGCGCCCAGAAGTAGAATCGGGGCTGTAGCTATACCGTCTGTTATTGTGCAAAGCAATCCCGAGAGGTGCTTCTGTCACCCACGGATCCTAGCACTCTCCGAGGCCATGCAGAGCAAAAGAACAGGAGTTAACCGTGACAATAGCACCACCACCAAAACAACAACAAGATGAAACACAGAAGAGGCTCACATGTCTCCGGTGGAGGAACCAAGCATAGCAGTGGTACATACAACCAGCGTGTTGCTGGTGGTGATCCCCCCAACAGCGGAAAAACTCGTCGGGTAAAGAAAGCAAGAGGTCAAGAGCTTAGTCAAGTGGCGGAGATCCCGTTTCATCCGTCGCTAGCCCGAAGTGGAGCGCTCTCCGACGGCTCCACGCTTACCCCTGAACGCATTCTCTTTATCCTTCACATGATGACCTTATGTACCTTGGTCTCTCGATGTTGAACGCGTCCTCTTTTTCCTGAACATGACGGCCCTTATACCTCGGTCCCTCGATGTTGGCCTTAAGCCGAACCGTAAGACACCCTTACGAAGACCGAACCTTTCCCCTGAACGCATCCTCTTTTCCCTGAACATGACGGCCCTTATACCTCGGTCCCTCGATGTTGGCCTTAACCCGAACCTTAAGACACCGTTACAAGACCGGACCTTGTACACCTCGGAGCGCATCCTCTTATACATAACCCGAACCTGACCCATGCACACACGTAATAGGGTGAGTTCGATGACGGAGACGATAGCAGCGACGAAGACGACGGCAGCGACGACGAGCCCGAGCTAACCGACGCCAGCAGCAGCAACGGCGACAACAGCAACAACCCCAACGAGGAGGAGGGAGCAGCGCAGCAGCAGTCAGCGTCCGCGGCAGCCGCCGCCGCCGTCCACTCCCCTACCCTAGACGCCAACGCGGCGGGCATCCTGGCGATCGCCGAGGCGGACGACCTGGCCAAGGTGCAGGCAAGGGCGAGGGCTAAGGCCAAGGCCAAGGCGGCTGGCGAAGCGGCGGCGGCGCAAGGCGAGGAGAAGAAGTCGGCGGCGCGGGGAGGGGGCGGGGCCAAAGCTGTCGTCGTCGTCGATGATGACGACGGGGTGGAAGTCACCGCGGTCAAGGCGGCCGCCGCCGGGGTTTCCGGTAAGGGACCGTCGGGGAGCGGTGGGAATGAGCAGGGGAAGAAACGGCGGCGGGTTGTCGATAGTGACGAAGATAGCAGCGATGACGGCGGCGGCGGGGGCGATGTAGTGGAAGTGGTAGTGGCTCCGCCTACGAGCAAGCCCAGCAAGAAGGAGAAGAAGAAAAAGAAAAAGAAGAAGGTGCGTCTTCTTTGCTGCTGCGCCCCGGGTTCCGGTGTCTTTTTTACGTGTTTTTGCGTACAGTGTTGTGGATCTAGCTTGTTGTCCTTGTGAATCCAACGCGGGAAACGGACTCTCTCTCTGTCTCTCTCTGTATGACTTTCTTTTTCTAGTTTTCTTGACCTTTGTACCACACGAAGGTCTTGTTCCAATGCTCCGGCGTAGCCACCCCTTCCCACACACGCAACCTGTTGGAGGATGTCCAACCAACAACAAGTTGGAGATGAGGGTAACGATCATGAAAGCGATGACAGCAACAAGTGTTTGATTTGGCTCCCGAGAGGCAAAAGTGCCGTATTTTTTCGTGCCACCATGTCTCGCCCTATTGGATTCTACCGATCCTATGCATACAGTCGGCGATGTGGCTCTTGCTAAGACGATGACCTCGGAAGCTGGGAAGAGTGCGGTAGCCAGCACTGCAGCTCCAACGTCACATTGCCAGGCTGCAACCAACCCGTTTTGCAGATGGCGAGAGGGGTGTTTTGGCGACCGATTTGCGTAGCGAGTGTAGCCCTCGGCTTTGCGAGTGATGTGAGTTAGCGGGGCATGGGAGAACGGCACCGGACAAGACACTAGAGAGAACGGAATCACTTCGGTCCTCACGAGAAAATACAGGAAAATGGTCGCGTAGTTCAGCGATTGGTGTATGTTCTCGAGGGCTACGGTGCACTCCGACTGCCCCCACTCCCGCCACGGCATGGTATTGTGCCAGGAGACCCGTGTGGCGCGACAGTCAAGACCGTAGCTTTAGAACCGTGCGGCATGGTAAGAAATACCCACACATATAGGGGTCACGTTGTATGCATGGCGAGAGAGAAGTACCACAAAAACGGGGCCATACTACATACATGATGACAACGATTAGCCGCCGCCCCCCCCTGGGTCAATGGCCAAACGACTACGGCATGGACGACAATGAGTTTCCCCCCCCCCCTCCCCCCGCCTTGATCTCTCAGAGGCACAGCTCTGGATACGACGACGATGGCATGGACGGCTCCGACCGCGGGTCCGACAGCGACGCAGACGAAGGAGCTCGCGCACGAAAGGTGCTGTCGGAGTGCTCGGCCCTCTCCAAGAAGCTCGCCTCGGTAATCTCTACCTGGGCGGGCACTACCACCACAACCGCCGCGGAAGAAGGGGGCTCCGCGGCTGGGGCAGGGGGGGGCAGGGGGGCGCTCGAGATCTGCAGCCTCAAGGGCGGGGGGAAGGCGGTGACGACTAACGAGGAGGTTCAGGAGGCGTGCCCGGGGCTGAAGCTGAATCCGTGAGTGTTGGTCGCTGGTGTTGTTTTGCGGGCGCTGTTGGTTGTGAGTGGTCTTGTGTTTAGGCAGGGGGAAGAAGGGTCGTCGTCGTCGTCTTTGTTGTTGTTTTCGTTTTTAATTTTTGGTGGTGGTGGTGGTGGTGGTGTTTGTTGCTGTTGGCGTGTCTCGTTGTCGTTGCTCGTGTTTGTGGTTGTTGTAACACTCGTAGTTACTTATGCCTCCTGTTATCTAGCGTTGCCTTCAACGAAACAAACAAAAAAATGCCGTTTTTTTCCTTGTGTGTTATGTGAAATGCACGGGCCAGGTATCAGCTTGTCGGGGTGAACTGGATGTGCCTCCTGAGAGACACGAACGTGAACGGGGTGCTGGCCGACGAGATGGGTCTGGGCAAGACGGTGCAGTCCATCGCCTTCTTCGCCCTCCTCAGGCACAGGAGGAAGGGGGCCCCGCCGAGGTAATACTGTATAGGTGTATGTTCCCTTCACCGGCCCCCGCGTATGCGTGTTTACAAATGCAGAGACCGGCAAAGGCATATGCGTGTGTGTGTGTGTGTGTCTAGGCATGCGTGTGTGTGTGTGTGTGTCTTTGTTATTATCATCGACCGCGCTATGTGTATGTGTGTGTGTATGTGTGTCTTTGTTATTAGCATCGATCGCGCTATGTGTGTGTGTGTGTATGTGTGTCTTTGTTATTAGCATCGACCGCGCTATGTGTGTGTGTGTGCGTGTGTGTGTGTGTGTGTTGTTTTACGTAGCGTTGACAGCGCTATCCGGCTGGCGAATGAAAAGACGTCAACCTCAGCGTGGCAAAAAAACGGAAAACGCTCCCTAATTATTTTGTGTGTGTGTGCGTGAGTTTTTTAAATGGCGTCGACCGCGCTTGTATGTATCCAGCTGGCCGACAAAATGACTTTTAAAAAAATCCAGCAACCATCCTTTTTTCCTTTTCCCTCCTACATACCGGTGTAATGTTTTTTTTTTGCCCTTCAGACGGCCGCATCTGGTCGTGGTCCCCAGCTCGGTGCTGGACAACTGGGCCAGCGAGCTGGAGAAGTTCTGCCCGGCGCTCGACTTTGTCAAGTACCACGGCTCTCAGAAGGAGCGGGCCGCCATGAGGCACAGCCTCAACCGGGTGGCGTCGGACGCCGATCGGGAGGCCATGCCCGTGAGTAGTCTCGCGTGTACCACGGTGTCTTGACGGCAACTTGTTCCTTTTTTTCAACAGGGACAACATAAGTTTTTGTGTTGTGTGTTTCATCCCTTTTGGCTTTGGATGTTTTTTTTTGTTTTTTTTTCGTTTCGGTACGTTTCTTTTTGTGGAACGCACCTGCCGGGGGATTTTGTTTGATTTTGTTTTTGCTCCACATCACCCCATGTTTTAGCATGGTGTTTGGCTGCGGTTCGGCTGCTGCTGGTTCTCTGTTGCGTGTGCCGGGCCAGGCGCGCAGCCGATGGTGGTAGTGCTGATAGTGATACAGCATTGGTATTGACGTCGAGCTTCGGCGGGTATGTGCTGTGCTTGCTGCACCTTCTGTGCCCCACCTCCCTCATATCCAAACACTACAAAGAACAGCTCCCTCAACATTGCAACAACAATGATGACGAGGCGGGACGGTCATCGCCGCTTGTGCGTGTAACGTTTCCGTTCTTCTGTTAACTTATTTGTTTTATTTGTTTTTTTCTGCTTGTTCAGGACATTATCCTGACCACCTATGTGGTCTGGGAGCGGGAGAGCTCGGCGGACGACAGGGCGTTCTTGAAGAGGTACATACGATTCGCAAGTATACAGCAGTATTCAAGTGATTCCTCCGGAGTGGGGTGATGAGGGCATAGTGCCGTCAAGAGGCGACGCAAGAAGACAGCAAAGGCAGACAGTAGGGCCAGCCCGCAGCTGCCGGTTGGTTGTGACGTTAGCGTTAACAGCTCACACAGCTTTCCGGTTTTTTTTCCCGAAGAGCCCAGCCACCCTCAACGAACAAAAAAATAAAACTGTATCGTCTTATGCATCGTTGTGACGTTAGCGTTAACAGCTCACACAGCTTTCCGGGTTTTTTTCCCGAAGAGCCCAGCCACCCTCAACGAACAAAAAAAAAAAACTGTATCGTCTTATGCATCGCGAGAAAGAGAATCCACCAAATAGGTAGAAGTTATAACTACGTGGTAAAGCGGTGCCATGCTTCGTTTCAGAAGGTTCTTTGTCTGAGTGAAAGCACACACGCAGGAGCAACACAGTTTCGCCATGCATGGTGAACTATCTAAAAGTTTTTTTCTATTTATTTATTTTTTGTTGAGCAACAGAGTTTCGCCGTGCATTGGTGAAATGTTTCAAGCTGTCTTCCTTCTTCTTTTTTTTTTACGTTTTTGTTGTATGTTCGTGTCTTGTCAGGTTCCGTTACGACTACATGGTGCTGGACGAGGGCCACAGCATTAAGAACATCAAGTCCAGCCGGTTCCAGCGGTTGAGAGTCGTGGCCGCCAAGCACCGTCTGCTCCTCAGGTACGTTCATGTCTTAGGGGGAGCCAATCGGTGGCTTGGCTGGGCTTGGCACCAAAGGAGGACCGCCGCCTTGCACGGGAGGCCTTTCTGAAGGCCTTTCTTAGACGTCAGCCCTATTGTTAGGGTCAGGGTGGGGTTACCTCCGCTACCCGTTGTCCCTTCTCTCTTGACGCGTTCCTCGGAATTGATTGATGATCCCCGTACCAAATAATGTTCCTGGCGCGCGAGACAAGGGAGGAACGATTGGCCATCGGTGATCGGTCCTGTGGGAACAATGCTCAGTCCTCTCGAGGACGCGTGGTCAATGGCCTAAAAACATAAGAGTGCGACCCCCCCCCTCCCTCCACCCCCCCCCGTACCGTTCTTCCCCCATGGTTGTGTAGCGGAACCCCCGTTCAGAACAACCTCGGGGAGTTGCTGGCCCTTCTGTCTTTCCTCATGCCGGAAATATTCCGGAGCGACGTGATCGAGACGCTGCTGGAGTTCCTGGGCAACAACGCCGACGAACAAGCGTCCTCCTCTTCTTCTTCTTTCCAGGTCCTCCTTGTCATCTTATTTGTCTTATTCTTGTCAGTTTGTCTTAACCAAGTTCCCTCTTGGCCTTCGGGCGCTTCTTGTCATGTTACTTGTCTTCGTGTGCCACTTTGTCTTTATGCGGCGCCCCGTTCGCCCCTTCATTGTTGTCATGTCCTCTGTCTTATGTTTGTCAGTTTGTCTTATCCCGACGCCCTCTTCATCTCTCCAGGCTCTCCTTGTCATGTTATTTCTTAGTGTGCCCGTTTGCCTTAACGTGTCAGGTTGTCTTAGCGTGGCGTCCTCTTCTTCATTAAAGGCCCTCCTTGTCATTTGATTTTTGTCAGCTTTTCTGTTTTCCTAGCGGTTTTTCTGTTGTCGAGGATGTCGTTACTGTGTGGTGTGTTTTTGTGATCTTCCAACGCAAAGTGGTACATTTCCTGTCTTTTTATCTCTGTCTCTCTCTTTCATGTGTCAGCCTACGAACACACAATGCCAAAGAGTAAGATTGCCTTGCTTTTCGCTGGTTATGGGTGTCTTGCCGTTTGTGTGTTTTTTCCTCACCTGTTTTTTTTAGGTGCGAGAGGTGCGGGGTATGCTAGCACCATTTGTGCTCCGGCGCCTCAAGTCGGACGTCTTGAAGCAGCTCGTGGCCAAAAACGAGAGCCTCGAGAAAGTGCCGCTATCGAAGGTAAGAAACAGAGGGATACTGTGGTTGTAGAATGGTAGTGTGGCATCTACGCCATGTTGCAGACTATGCTGCGGCCTAGGTTGCGAACCGTTCGAGCTTGTCTAGTTGCCGCTTGGAGGCATCTGCCTATGCAGAAAATATCTGGTTGCAGCTTGCAGGCATCTCTGCATACTATTGTGTCGGCCTAGCTTACGAACCTTCACGTTTGTCCGGTTGCAGCTTTGGAGGCATCTATGCAGACGATATGTCGGCCTACTTTTGGAATCTTTCAATTTTCAGTGGTCCGGTTGCACCTTACAAGGCACTCCATTTGTTTGTTGTCTACGCAAAAGTGAAGCGTGCCTTCTGTCTATCCATACCCCAACGGATAATACGTCTTCCGTTGATGATATATTCTTGTGGCGTTGGGAACGGCGAATGTACTGGCTTTTTTGGCGAGATGCACGGCTTTTTTTTTTTCACGTCGCAACTCAATCAACCTTGCTCGTGGTCGAGTCGCGCGTCCTCGCGTCCTCGCAAGACCGCACCCACAAGCCACCCTCGAGACCATGCCTCACACCTTCACGATCGACATGCCACCCC